CTACTTTTTCGGCCCCTTCCAAAGATCCACAGCTGATTTCTTAAGGAACAAGTCTCGCATAGTACTTCCTGTGTGAGGCTGTTGTGAAGCACTTCTGAACTCGTTGTCGCTGTCTTCACTGTTTAGATCACCACCTTCATCCCAAGCGTCTTCCTCGGTGTGTATTTCCATCTTCTCCATGATCTTCCGCAGCAGGTGGTGATTCTTCTCGATCATCGTGTTCATTTCCCGCATTCTGAAAACACAAGTTACATGCACGTGGTTATTTATGTTATGTTACTTTACGTTATCACAATCGACGTCACTGCACATTGGGCATTCACATGCGTGCTCAGTCCTCCGATGCAGCAGCCACTCCAAAGTACTTCTACTAATTGTTCCCATGAGAAGAAGACGGCATAGAAGTGCTTCACCATGCTTTACATCCATGTCACGCAATTTTGTTAGTGTCTAGTATTCCTCATTAATCACTAGCCTAATCCGTACAGCGTTGACAATATCTGTTCTGTACATGCTTCTTCCCACATGCGTAAATGCAGTGCTTGCCAGTTGGTCCGCTCGCTCATTTCCCTTTACGCTCGCATGACCAGGTATGTATATCCAGCTGAGGAAAGTTTAGCGCGAGTTTCGAATGCTTTCTATCGATTCAGAGCGAATACCACATGTTGCTATCTTCTACAGTTACAGCATGTGTCGCAGTATGCTTGGATACCCATGCTAACGTTCTAGAAGCGGCGGCTCTTTTCATGGTCATGCTTGACGTGGTTGTCTGTTAAGAGCCGCTGACCTCCTGTATTGTTTCCCCCCCCCCCCCTTCTTTGCGCTTTGTATGCCTATGTTACCTTGTTCCGCGCTTCAAGATTCATCTGTGTAGATGATGATGTCTGCTGGGTCTAAATGCTGATATATCAGTTCCATTACCCCTGTGTCTACGGCGGCAGGAATTTGATCCCCGCAGTACCTTCCGAGTGTGATGACAACCTTAGAGATGTCATGCACGTCTACTGGTGTATTCGTCAATTATTTTCCGTGATCGATCACGTCTAGGTCACATACCTGCTGGATTAAATCCTCAGCCTTTGCCATCCAGGAGCAGCCTCTTTAGAGATGCGTTCCTTTTGTGTCGTGTATAGCTTTGTGCAGTGGATGGTTAACGTCTGCTGATACCCTCATGTACGCCTTGACCTGTGACTTTATATCTGCTAGTCATCGTCGGCAAACCCAGGACATAACGCATGGCGTTGCAGGAGGTGTCTTTTGTGCAGCCCAGTATGAGTCTCATTGCCTCATTTTATACTCGGTCCAGTCTTTCTAGCTGGGTTTTGCTGACAGTGAGGAGGCCAAGACCATAGTCAATAACGCTTAATACAAGCTCTTGACAGAGAAAGAAAAGTAGGTGTTGTTCAATATCACCTGCTGTTAGCCCCTTGAGTACTGTGAGTACGTTGTCTACGTTGCATTTGTATGACAAGCATCTGTCAAATGTCATGCCCAGGTATATCATGGTGTCCGTTCTCTCGATGTCCACATCACACATGCTTACGACTGGCGTTGGTGTACTGACGATGTGGGTATTAAGAGAGAACCATGTTAAGGAGGCTTTGGACTGGTTCACTTGAGCTCTTGATTCCTGGCACCACTCCCTAAGTCTGTCTAGTTCGTGTTGTAGCGTGGTTGTAATTTCGTGCCTGTTTTCACTTCGACGGTATACAAGAATATCATCTGCATGCGACATTGTTCTGTCTAAGCCTGCGCTGGTTATTTATATGTAGGGCATGGTAGCCAGAACCTAGTGGGGTAATCATCTTGCCACCTCTCACTGTCCCAGTGCCAACCAATCATAAACATTGTCTTGTTAAGTGTTCGTTTAATCATATCATATAATATCAAACAATAATGTATGTGCCGTTGAGTGGACTGTTATTTGTAGGCATTTACACAAGGTTTAAGTCACATATTATTTACCTAACACATGTGAGAAGAGTGAGACCCAACAACATTGTTTTCTTCCTATTGGTGCCCACGATGTAGGGTTTCCTCTAGAAAAAATAGGTAGGCATGAAGCACGTGAGCGTGCGTATTTTAATATCTCTTCTTCTCTTTTCGTCCATATGCTCGGGGAGTGTGTTCGGATGTAGTTTTATGCCTTTTGCTAGTTGCATAGCTTTTGTTAATGTCATACTGCATTTCTGTACTGTTTCTTTTATCCCCTCCACCCATATCTTTCTTGGTCGGCCTCTTGACTTGTAGCCTGTTGTTCTCATGTAGTATGATCTAGGTGCCAGCTGACTTTTTTTCTTTTCTGACCAGATCACCAAAACAATTGATTCTTTGATGTTCTTTGAAATCATTTACGAAAACTACTTACTTGTGTTCTCACTACCTCAGTGCTGACTCTATGTCCTTTTTTTTTTCAACCTTTGTGGTTTTTATGAATCTGATCTCATATTTTGTGATTTTTCCTTAATGTATCTCTAGGACTGTCAATGTATGGCACTGATAGGACAGAACTCGTACGAATAGAGCATTTATCAACTGGCGTATTTCAATTATGTGTTTAAAAAATGCCTTTCGTTGAAAAAAAAAATGTAATAGGTAATAGGTGGTGAGTTTACGGCAGTAGTGGGTTGCGGTGAATGAAGCCGTAAGTGGGTAAATCGATACCTCTTTATTCTATAGCAGCGGGCACATTTTTGGATTTTTGGTTGTCGCTGACAGACTTTGCCCGCTGAACGCTGACCTAACGGTGGAGGACCTTTCCGGTCTGGTATATTTAGGTGAAACTTGTTACATTATAGGCGGTCAAGCGAATCGGGTTCAAAGTGTGGTGAGTAGTTTGAGACAACATGTGGTTTGAATAAATTTATTTAAAAGAAATGTTTACCTTTATTAAAGTAATCATAGATCGTCTGTCACTGACGTTATTACCTCTTTTATTTATTGTTTTCTATTCTCTTCCTCCCCAGACGATCACGTCCATGTGAACAGACAACTATGTAGTGCTATCTAAGAAAAGAAATAATGGAAAAACGAAGCGGGCTTACCGAACTTTCTGCTTGCACATTTCCTGACAAATAACTGAAGTTTGACTGTCTGAAGACTGTTGCATCTCACTGTCCATCTCTGTCTTTGTAAACATTGAAAACATCTGAGGACACAGATGTAGACAGATGAACAATTTGCAAATGAACACTTTCTGGTAAATATATCGCAACGAGGAAGACTATTTAAAGTAAATTAGTGCACAACTTTGGTCGCCTGGTTACATTTTAAGATTATTTTGTTTCGCTATTGAAAACATAATAATGTAGAATACTCGTAAAAACAAAAAGAATGAGTTAGCACATTGACTGATTTTCCGCTCCGAATTACACCTGAAGGTCTTACATCCCTGCAATTCAAATCCTCGCATTCCTTATGTAATTCTAACAGGGCAACTCCCAGATAACAAATTCAAGGAGCGATATAAGGTGCTACCTTCGTGAACCTGCTATCATAGGCGAAGATAATAGAAATAATTTGTTAATATGTATCATATACTAATGAGTTTTCTACACTAATGTCTTTAAGCATCAACCTGTTATATATTAGCCTGATTTAATTGAATCTGAAATAATAATGTTATTAATGGAAATGAAATGACACAATCTGGCTACTACCAGAATTTTTTGTTTTTAAAGATGTAATAGACCATATATTAATTTATGGTACCAACACTGGACATACAAATAACACTCACACTGTTGAGAAGTGTCGTGCATCTGTTAGGGAAGAAATCATATTTTGTGAGATGAACGCGCTTCCTGAGAAAATCTGGCATTTTCCTTTCCATATTCATGTGCAGTTCCACCTGGCACGTAAAAAAAAAAAAAATGCATTTAAAGACGGCGGAGCACATGTGAAATTAATCTTTTAGTGTTGCTGGCACCCCTCGTGATGGGATGCACTAGTGTGCTCTCGTGATTCTCAGAGCAATGCAAACAGAAACCTGTGCTCCTGATAGGCCTCACTATGTTGGACCCGTCACGAGAAGAAGGGCCAGACCAAACTAGCCTGGGAGACTAAAGGGGGGGGGGGGTGTAAGGACAACCCGTTACCGTAGACACAAATGTACCTTACAGGGTGAAGTCAAAAGATTGCACCAATGGAAAGAAAGGAAACCAGCCAGACGACTAGCGAAATAACGCTGGGGATCAACGCTGAATTTGTGTCAGCAACCTGAATGTAAATCTTCTTTCTGCCCAAAACACATTCACTCGTGATGTAGAAATGTTAGAACATTGTACCAAGTTGGAGACTTGTTCTTTATGTGATAAATCTACACTGTGTACTTTGTTTAGAAATAGGAGAAAAACGCTGGACAAGGACAGGAACATGAAAACCCAGTACAGGCGACAGCATTACTTGGACATGTATATGTGATCAACAATATATGTATATATAAGGAGTTCGCACTCATAGTTTAAAGGGCATTAATAACACGCTCTTGTAATTGAAAGTAGTTTAATTATTGTTTGGAAGGTTTATTTCATGGTTTGCAAAACAGAAGACGTAGAAGAGGGGGGGGGGGGGGGGATACCTTTAAGACGGTTTGCAAGAGGCAGTTGAAGACATTTCAAAACATGGTGTATTATTTTCCTTTGAGAGATCCGCGCACAATAGAAAAGGACTGCACTGGGAGTAAAAGAACAATGGGAAAACATAGAACAAGAAATCGACCAACAACAGGGAGACATTGTGCTATTTTAGAGAAGCAAATGATTTGTTAATTGAAGAAACACTCTTCCCTCATAAATTCTTGCATAAGATAAAATGGGGATCTCTAAATGGACACACAGAAAACCAGGTCGACCATATTCTCATAAATGGAAAATGGAGACATTCTCAGAAAACGGTGTGCAGATCGGCTGATATACGCATTGTGAAACTCGCATTGAAAGTAAGTGGGGAGCTAAACAAGGAGAACGAAAGCAGAGTTGCAGTATGGCCAGATTAAAATACTAAATAGGATTTATTGATTAAGGAATCAACATCATAGAACACCAGGCATACCCATAGGTGCTCCGTCTCCCACGGCAAATTTTTTAACTTCTAACTGTTCCCAGCTAATTAGGAAAGAACTTTTTAAAAAAAAATACAAATCAGCGTATTGCAAGAAGAAACGGAAATGGTAATCTAAAACTTTCACGAATCAGTCAGGGGAGGAAATGTTAAATTGTTGGTGGTGAAATAGAGAGGAGTAAATTTCTTAAACAAAGTGTAAGAAAATGTCACAATAAAAAGTAAATAAAAAAAAAAACATGTTAAATGCTAACTCGTCTAAACTGGGAGAAAGACTTTCTACAGAGTATGCACAACAGAATATCGAGGTTAAAGGAGAATCAAAAATATATAAACCTCCTTTGTAGAAACGATATCAACAATAGCAGAGGAAGCAATGAATAACTATGATAGTCCAAAATGTATAGTAAAGCCCAAAATGTAAAGAATCTTTGTATCACTCCAAAATTTGCATCAGATCAAAGAATAGAAAGATGATTACAGAAGAAAGAAAAACTGGAAAGGTGGAAAGAACATTCGTCCTGGTCATTCACTGGTTGACGAAGAAAGCTACAAGAAATATAAATAGGGAAATAAGATGGTCACTAACCTCGGTTTTATAGGTTTTGACTATGCAGAGGATACCAACTTATATCAAACTGCATCAAAAAACTAAAATATGTTTTACAATAACCATTAAGATAGGATAAATTCCAATAAAACTAAAGTAATGGGAAATATAAAAATCCAAATGTCTTAAAACAGGAAGCAATACAAGAAGTTAACAAATGTGTATACCTCTGAAGTAAAATAAGTCAAGGTTGGTATTCTAAAGAGGATGCAATATCAAGAATTATTAAAAAAAAAAAAAAAAAAAAAAAAAAAAAAAACAAGCACTTGCCAGGCTTAACAATATATGGAAGTTCAAGTGAGAATTTTAAAAATAACGCAGATTATCAAGACAAACATATTACGAAAACTTCTAAACAACAGCAAGAAAATGACAACAAGAATTAGACATAACCTACATAAGTTTCAAAAATAAATGTCTTAGTAGATTCCTGCAAATAATTTGGCCAAACAGGATCCCACATGAAGAACTGATGAGGAAAACAAGATGTTCATCACTGGCAAACTTTGTCAAAGGAATTAGATGGAGATGGTTTGAACATAAATACAGGATGCTTTGTGACACTTCGGCAGGGTCAGCCCTCAATTAGACGACAGATGAAAGAAAGTAGACGTGAACGACCTTAAAAAGCTTGAATGACAGAAGAAAGACAGGGATTACTGTAGGCAGAAAAGAAGCAGACCAGCAGCTATGGAGATCAGTTGTGAATGCCCTATTTGGCAACAGCGATATGAAGAGGAAATACAATTAAATCAAAGTTAGGTCAAATGTAGAAAATAATTTGAGGTATCTATGTATTTAATAGTATACATAATTTATCGAGTGTTTCCTCTCATCAATTGCCCTTTTAAAATTATACACAGAAAAGCCAACAGAAGTACCTGCATTGCAAGCCGCTTCAGCCTAGCGTCTCTCTGCACAGATTCAATATCGCCAACAGCCAGACCAATCTGTAGATTATCAACGATAAAAGTTATATGTACAGAACAAGCAATATATTCCAAAAGAAAGTAAATTCAAAACCTGGTTTGTATTAAAAGTATGAATGAGCATTTGTATGTCACAACTGGAAGTATGGTTTCACTATGTGCTTGTTTTCTATTATTTCCTGACAGTCTTTGGATCACTTCAGAAATGAATACTTTTGTTGCTTTTGGACAGTAGTAGGAAAATCATTTCTTTTTTTTTTTACGCCTGACTGATACCTAGTTGTATGCAGCCCCGTGTCGTGTTTTCTGTATTTGACTTGCGCTTCTCGGTGGCTTGGGTGATATATTTGTTCATCATTTTGCAGGTTTTAGCTACAACATGTATCCATATTTTTTTTTTTGGGTCTTCCTCCCGCCTTCCTCTCAGATGCACTGCAGTAAAATGTCTCAAATGCAGTCTGGTCTGGCTGCATCCTCACTAGATGGCCGAACCACTTCATTCTTTGTCTGTCAATATAATCCAGACATGGTCTTACTCCAACTTTCTCTCTAATGCTGGCATTCGTAACTCTGTCTTTTCCCGTGCTGATAGTGACTTTGCGAATACTGCGCATTTTAAGTTATTTTCTGTTCTAGTGCCCTATTTATTTTCCATGTTTGGCACTGATAACAAAAGGTAGGGAAAATATGCTATTAATCATTTGCTGTTTTGCTTAAATGGAGATAATTGGGTACTTTAGCAGTGGGACTAACTTTTAGGTACGAGAATGGGACCATGGAAAAGATTATATTTACCTTAATATGGATATTCCCGAAACAGCAGTAGATTAAAAATATCCACTCCAGCCAATCTTCATTATAAAAACCCCTAAACAACATTATTATTTTGCATAACCTGCTTTTAGATCCAAGCGGTCATGCATAGACCACATCTTTACTCTTAGAATAATTGTTGAAGATTCTACAGAATTCCAGTCGAAATTATTGATCAACTTTGTCGACTTCCAAAAAGCCTTCCACAGTATCCACCGTCCAACACTCTGGAAATTGCTTAACATCTATGGTTTCCCCATCAAATATATCAACATCATAAAATCTTTTTAAAATGAAACACGATGCTGTGTAAGAACTGATTCCGGCAATTCTGACTGGTTCCCGGTGGAAACAGGAGTGAAACAAGGCTGTGTCCTATCGCCGATGGTTTTTGGTATAGCAATCGACTGGGTCATGCTCAAGTGCATAAATAACGCAAATTTAGGCATTACATGGGTTGACAAAATTCTGGAAGACCTAGACTTCGCCGACGACATAGCACTCCTGAGTTCAGAACACACAGACGCCAAAGAAAAATCAATCGACTCCAGAATTTCGCAGAACAAATTGGACTCCAAATTAACACCGCAAAAACAAAAATTCTAGACCTTACCAACAGTTCAGTTGATATCACGCTGAACAACAACAGCCTTGAAAAAGTCAACAGTTCCACTTATCTAGGGAGCAAGATGTCATCTACAGGAGATACCGCACCAGAAATACCATTTAGAATAGCACTGGCATCTAGTGCCTCCAATAAACTGTCCAACATCTGGAAATCAAAGACACTTAGCAAACACACAAAACTCAAGATCTTCAATTCTTGTGTGATTCCAGTACTAACCTATGGATGCGAGAGCTGGAAATCAACGAAAACTCTAGACACAAAATTAGACAGTTTTGAAAATAAATGCCTTAGAAGAATACTAAATTTCAAATGGTCAGATTTCCGAACCAATACACAAATAAGGCAAGAATCCAGGCAAGAGTATGTGTCTAATTTTATACGAAAACGCCGCTGGAACTATGTCGGCCACGCCCTTAGAATTGATAAATCAAGACTTCCTTACCAAGCCCTCATTTGGATACCACAGGGGAAAAGATCTCGTGGAAAACCAAGGGAAACTCTACGTAGAACTATCATCAGGGAAGGCTCACTCATGGGCCACTCAAACATCCAAGACCTACAACAGATTGCAACGAACCGCCATGCATGGAGAGTCGTGACCTCTGCCCTATGTGCCGAACTCGACACAAGAGGAAAGACTAACTAACTAACTAACTAATAACCTGATGCAGTTTCCTCTTTTTATGTAGGACAGAACGACATATGAAGTGTATTGCGCGGGGGGGGGGGGGGGGGGGGGTGGCTGTTATATATATATATATATATATATATATATATATATATATATATATATATATATATATATATATATATATATATATATATATATACCTTCAAAGTTTACAAGATTAACCTCTGATGAAACTTTGGTGATATTGCTTCTGAGGTCAAGGGTAAATAGCATAGTCTGGATATTTTCTCAGCGTATGTCGGTGTGTTGGGAAATCAACAGGCGGACAGACTGGCTAGCTCTGCACAACTTGGTGGGATATTGGTGAATGTAAAGAGATAAGTGGTTAGGGCCTCATGGAAGCACGTGTAAAATTTGGAACATAAAACTTATGATCACAGCCCAGCGAGAGTGATGCATGAAAAATGACGAGGGGATCTGGTGGGTACTCGAAGTTCAGCGTAAAGGCGAGACGGACAGATAATCAGATTGTTACTGGCACAACTGGTAATGGAGCAGGGTGCTGGCTGCTGAAAATGCGGACGCAGTGCTTATTTGAATGCACCGAGTGCAATGATGTTGGTTCTTAAATAAATTAAACTCAGAAGACATGATGGTAGATGTAATATTTGTAACATTAGTCAATTAGCAACATGCCGTGTACAAAACAAATGCTGACTGTAGTGAATATTTAACATGACCACTCGCCCTGGTTGCACATTCCCTAAGCCTGCTGTGTACCCATCTCGTAATATCTTCCCATATGTTACATCGTATACTTCTTTCTTCTAACCTGACTTCAACTCGAGTATGGCTGTAACATTTGTTGATTATATTAACAATAAACATTATGAAAATAATCTAATAATCTTACTATTATTTAGTATTGTTTTTAAACTTCTCTATGCTGAAACTGAAAAACAGTTAACATTATCGATGTTGCACCACAGTTCCTACAACAAACACTGAATTAAATATTTGTCTCACAGACCCGTCCAGAAAGCAATGGCAAACTACTGGACGTAAATTTGCCTTGAAAAAACAGACAACAGCCAGGGGCTGTTAGGGTTGGTTCTGCGACGTCCTGTAAAGGATACCCCACTAACCTCCCAGACCCAATGACTCATTGAAACAATCCAAGCGGACCTACCAGTAGGTTCATGAGCAGAATGGGCATAAGAAGCACAAAGACCACCAGGAACACCAGTGTCAGGTTACCGAAGTGCAGGGACTCAGTCTTGCCATCCACGTAGAGTTCGTTGAACGAGCCCATGTAGTCAACCTCTAACATCATCATGAATGTGCGGAGCAGGGACAGGGCAGGCGTGGAGTAGGCTTTGGATTCCTGACAAACAAGAGCAAACAGACCTATCGTTATGTATTAGTTTTTAAAAGAGTAGGAAATTATACGGAAGAGAAAAAAGGGGGTAAGAAAGAACATATAGTATATATCAGTTTTACAAAATCGATCACAGTTAACAAACAAAGGACGTTCCGGCGATTAGCCTTCATCAGCACATAAATACCAACACAACACACATTCACACATATGCACTAACTATGAAGTGACTACATAGGACTATAATGTACTAAATAAATGATACTCATCTGTGTCCCTGGCGAAAAAAATACATTCAAGAAGATGAGCAGGACAGGTAATAACCTAAATATCACCACCGGGCAGACAGGAGGCGAAAACTGGGTCGGTATACCTGCATAATAGTAGGAGCTGACGCCAACACAGACACACTAGTGTATACTGTGTCCAAAAGGGGAGGGAGGGGTTAGCCAATATGACGTAACCCGGCTGGATAGCGGGGATGACTTTAGTACACCCTCATGGAGTAAAAGTGGTGCCTGTGTTGGCGTACAAATACCAACAGACAGAGAGGCAGGCAGACAAGCATGCAGACAGACAAGCATTCAGACAGACAGACAGACAGATAGATAGATAGATAGATAGATAGATAGATAGATAGATAGATAGATAGATAGATAGATAGATAGATAGATAGATAGATAGATAGATAGATAGATAGATAGATAGATAGATAGATAGATAGATAGATAGATAGATAGATAGATAGATAGATAGATAGATAGATAGATAAATAGATAGATAGATAGATAGATAGATAGATAGATAGATAGATAGATAGATAGATAGATAGATAGATAGATAGATAGATAGATAGATAGATAGATAGATAGATAGATAGATAGATAGATAGATAGATAGATAGATAGATAGATAGATAGATAGATAGATAGATAGATAGATAGATAGATAGATAGATAGATAGATAGATAGATAGATAGATAGATAGATAGATAGATAGATAGATAGATAGATAGATAGATAGATAGATAGATAGATAGATAGATAGATAGATAGATAGATAGATAGATAGATAGATAGATAGATAGATAGATAGATAGATAGATAGATAGATAGATAGATAGATAGATAGATAGATAGATAGATAGATAGATAGATAGATAGATAGATAGATAGATAGATAGATAGATAGATAGATAGATAGATAGAAAGTGGATGGTGGGATGAATGGATGAATGGATGAGTGGGTGGTTGGATAGAGGGTGGGTAGATACATAGATGGAATGGTGGACAGCAATATTAGTGGATGTAAGGAATGTTAGATGAAAGGATGGATCGGCCTATATGTGTGCCAATATATTAAATCAGGATAAAACAAGGGTCTTGTGACACGATGTTTCTCTCCTACGGTCAGCTATGAAATAGAGACAGTAAGGTTGATTGGTTTACAAAGTTTAGCCAAGCACAGAACTGGTAAAATCATAATGTAAGAAAGCCATGGAAAAATATCATGAGAGGATGGTGGTGTGAGTGGACGAGTGGATGCTTGGAGAGGTGGGTGGGTAAATAAAAATATGGAATGATGGATGACTATACTGGTGGATGGATGGAATATTAGATGGATGGATGGAATATTAGAGGGATGGATGGATCGGCCACCTCATAGCGCAGTATAACACTATCGTCCGGAAAGACGGAAAGGTGCCAATGATGGGATGGCTCAGCCTATGCGTGTACCAATATATGAAATCGGGTGAAAGCAAGGGTCTCATGACACTATGATTCTCTCTGACTGTAAGCTGTGAAATTTTTAGGTATTAGAACATTCAGTAGTATGTAGAAGACATTTTGTTATACTTAATCCAATAGAATAGTAAATATTAAGTGAAATACATTAAAAAAAAATATAATTTATTACACTAGTAAGTACTAAGAAGAAGACTTTTTAAAAAATAATTTACTACAAAAGTAAGTAGTAAATAAAAGACTGTTTACATAAATTGTTTCAATAGTAAGTAGAAGACTATTAAACATATTTTACTACAATAATAAATAATAAGTAGAAGACATTTTACATAATCTATTCTTATATAAAGTAATAAGTAGAAGACTTTTTACATAATTGTTTACAATAGTAAGTAGTAAGGGGACGACTGTTTTTTTTTTACATAATTTATTACAATAGTAAGCAGTAAGCAGAAGACTATTTATCTAATTAATCACAATGGTAAGTAGTACGTAAAAGAGTATATTAAACCACTAGAGTATGGATCACATGATGTAAGATACATTTTTAATAGACCAGTTAGCACTCGGTGGACGAGGTGACCGCCTTAACATATTTGACAATACCTGATACTAGTTTTAGACTGGGTCTACATGCGAGCCAAGACAGATAATTACAAAGCTTTATAATCATGCTTATGTGATCTGTTGGTAAGCGCTCGCTA